CTTTCTTGCCACTTTTGAGAGCAGCGTGGGATAAGGTCCTCTGTGTGTCCTATACTCTAGAGTAGCAGAAGAAGAAAAAACTCACTTCATTTCCCACCAAATAGCCCTTCAGATATTTATAGATGGCCATCGTATCACCACCCAGTCTTCTTTTTTTTCAAGCCAAAGATACCCAGCTCCCTCAATCATTCCACATAAGACTTGGTTTCCACACTCCTTACCATGATGTTTATCCTGCTCTGGTCACATTCCAGCTTGTTAATGTCCTTTTAAAATTGCAGTTCCCAAAACTGGACACAGTACCCCAGGGGAAGTCTGACCAAAGCAGGAGAGAATGGTATTACTGTATTACCACATTCATATCACATTCTTTGATCAGACATCACCCAGAATACTGTGTCCAGTTCTGGGTACTATAATTTAAGAAAGATGGTGAGTCATTGGAGGATGTCTAGAGTAGGGCAACCAAAATGGAAAACCATTTGGAAACCATGCCATATAAGGAAAAAATTATGGAGTTGGGTATGTTTAGACTGGAGAAGAGAAGGTTAAGAGATGACATGATAGCCATGTTTAAATGTTTGAGGGAATGCTATATTGAAGATGGCGCAAGCTTGTTTTGTGCTGCTCCAGAGACTGGGACATGGAGCAATGGATACAAACTACAGGAAAAGAGATTCTACTTAAAAATTAGGAAGAACTTCATGAGAGTAAGAGCTCTTTGGCAGTGAAATATTCTATCTCAGAATGTGGGGAAGTCTCCTTCTTTGAATGTTTTTAAACAGAAGCTGGATGGCCATCTGTCAGGAGTGCTTTGATAGTGCATTCCTGCCTGGCAAGGAGTTGGACTGGCTCTTATGGTCTCTTCAAACTCTATGATTCTATGAATATGCACATTCAGTCACAGATGCTCATCTATATAATATTTCTGTAATTGAAGATATGCTTGAATTTGCATCCCAAAATGTGTATACATCAGGAGTGGGAAATGTGCAGTCTCCCAATGTTGTTAGACTTCAAATCTCATCATCCCTCACCATTAGCTTTGCTTGTGGGAGTTGCAGTCCAACAACTTCAGGGAGGCCATCAGATAGTCATCTGAAACTCATGACACATACCTCACTCTTCTAAATATAACCTAAGTCTCAACACTGTGAATAAAGAGAATGCTAAGCTCCAAGGTCTCAATTCTTCAGGGAAGACAATATAATGAGTGGTCCCATTTTATTTCCATTGGGCAACTGACAGATGATGCTCAACATTATGGCACAAGACTGAGGGGGGTTGCAGGCTGCCAGAAATAGTGCAAATTGAGTCCACTTTTAGGGTTAGGGTTAGTGCTAGGGAATCATGGGAATTGTGTTTTTTTTTTTTCTGAGACATTGAGCCTTCTCTGTCAGAAAGCTCTGGTGCTGCAATAAAATACAGTTCCCATGATTCCCTAACCCTAACCCTAACCCTAAAAGTGGACTCAATTTGCACTATTTCTGGCAGTCTGCAACCCCCCTGACTCTCATGGGATTTAAGTTGGACTATGGAATACTAAAAGATGGATGTAGCAAGCAATCATCACAGATGAATGAAGTACAATAATGCATGCAACCAGAAAATAAAAAATCCAACAAATGCCTTTTGAACATGCAGAAAAGTAATGAAAGTTTTACAGCTTTACAGTTACTTATCTTTTTCAACAAGTTCTTTCATCCCTATGGCCACAAAAAGAATAGTTTTTGAAAGCTCCAAATCAATTAACTTATTGAACCAGTTTCTGTTTCTACCCATTACTGATCCTACTGATAGGACAGAGAGGATAATGCTTTCTCCAATTTCTCTCTTTAACATATAAGAAGTGGAAGTAAGGATGAGAGGGCCCACACATTCATCCCAAAGAAATGTACATGGCCCACCTGTGGTGTCACTGGATGTTACCATGTGGGGTCAAAGTTCTTATTTGATCCATTGGATAGAAAAGTGTTGTACTGATGATGCCTGGGAAACTGGTTCCAAGACAATAATTAATGTGCCTTTGGTGGGCTGTGCATAGATCTCTGTTGGGATATAATGCCACCCTATGAATAGCATTGGAACAGGAGAGGCATGCTAGACAGGTTGAAAGATTGCATCCATTAACTACCACACATAGGTAAATGACTGGGCTCTCATTTTGGGTCTCTCATAGTTCCCCCACACACACACACACACACACACACACATTTCCAAAAAATGGCACTTACAATTCAAGTTCTGGTCATGTGCACATTTATTTTCAGGCAATCAATCACTGTAAAAGCAAACAATGAATGGACTAAAATGCTTTGATAGGCAGGCCACCCAACTATTACCTGCTTAGCAACATTCTTTTCAGTCCTCCCTTTTAAATCCTCTGTTACTTCAAAAGCAACATCATTTACAAGGTACATAACTGCTTGTTTGATCTTGAAAGCATCGTGTTTGAACCACAGCTGCAAACACTTATGAGTGACTCTGCTTTGGTGAACAAGTTGAGCGACTTGTAATTTCTGTGATCCTGCTTAGTCTCCAGAGAAACACTTGTGGGTTGTTGTTCCAAGGGAAGGAAGGATCTCTTTCTCTCTCTTTATGTATTATATCAACTTAATTTCTCATCCAAGAGAGAGTACAGGTTTGTGCAAAATAGTAGCTTTGGAGAAAGAAAAAGAAAGTAGAAGAAAGACATGCAAAACAATTTCATTGTGTGTGTATGCGTGTGTGTTATAGAGAGAGAGAGAGAGAGAATGAGAAAGAAAGAAAGAAAGAAAGAAAGAAAGAAAGAAAGAAAGAAAGAAAGAAAGAAAGGTGCACTTGACTTAGGTCCCAGTGCCATTGAAAATGAAGTAGCAACTCTATTTCTTTTCTTCCCTTTGTTAGGCCTTCCTCTGAATCAGTACAATCTTAATAAAGGAGTCATCAGAGAGAAAATGTCAGAATTACCTCTAAGCATCCTTTCACAAAAGAAGAAAAGCTCTTATGGTATCTCGGCTCTTTCTGTATTTCATGAAAGATGAGCATTGGCTTCCCCCCCTTTCTGCCATATGATTCTAAGATCAAAGTCCAGGTCAAGGAGACCTGAAATTAAGGTTATTGTTGCTTTGCAATTTATTTTTTATGGGGAAAAAAGAGGTGCTGTGCGGTGTTTTTCTTAAAAAAAAAATAGGAGCAAAGTGACATGCTAGGTTAAATGCACTTGTTTCCCTCTTTCTCCAGCTGGTTGGCCTTGGATTAAGTACAAAGAGGAACAGTCATGGGGTTCTGTTTTCCTTATCATGTAGTGACTTCTGCGCTGTCTCATTTCTAGGCTTAATGTGACAATGACTTGTTCTACATGATGGACTTGACTGGGATCTCTTTTGACAAGATTTTAAAAATATCGTTGGACCTCAGTATCAATAGGTTTGCCATCCATGGATTAAAGCATCCATGGATGCCCCCTACCCTTTCTGGTCAATTGTGGCATGTGCATGTGGCTACATCAACAAAGTCACACACAGGGTGTGCTATAATGGGACTTGAGGCCCTGCAGTATTTGGCATCTGTGTTGGGATCTGGAATCGAACCTCTGCAGAAACCAAGGGCCAACTGTATAAGAAATCTTATTGATTGTGATCTGGAAACAGACTAACATGAGTCAAATCAAGACTAACTGGCTTTGAACTGGGAGTCCCTAATTTTTAAACAGAGATGAGGATCAATCATGTTAATCTACCAGTATGTTTATAATCTGAATTCAAGATGCTGGTGATGACATTCAGAACCCTGAATACTTTGGAGCCTTGATAATAGAAGGAATTCCTCTATATATGCCGGCCTGAATGAGATCTTCTGGAGGGGTCCTCCTTTCTTTTCCACCAGTGCAGATAATACAATGCGAAAGGCTGCGGGAAAAGGGCTTCTTCCTCTTCTTCCTCCTCTTTCTTCATTCTCTTCCACCTTCTCCACTATCAACTACTTTTCCTGACTTTGTAAGGTGGTTTGCTGTTGTTCTGTACCTTCAAGTTGTTTCCAACCTATGGCAACCCTAAAGCAAACTTATCAGAGGGTTTTCTTAGGAAGCTTTGTTCATGGGGGTTTGCTTTTGCCTTCTTCTGAGGATGAGAGAATGTGTCTTACCCAAGGTCACTCAGTTGTTTTCCATGGCAGAGCAGGGATTTGAACTCTGGTCTTGAGAGTCATGGTCCAGCAGTCAAACCATTACACCACACTGGCTCTTTGTAAGTTGTTAATTTTCTTAAAAGAGGTACTTTTAAATGAGGGTTCTTAGAATCCTAGAATCATGATTCTAGGAATCGTTAAAAGCTATCTAGCCCAACCCCTATAGTTCAGGAACACATGGTTAAATCAC